TTAAAACTGGATATGGAACAACTGATTGGTTCAAAATTGGGAAAGGAGTACAACAAGGCTGTATATTGTCTCCCTGCTTATTTAACTTATATGCAGAATACATCATGCAAAAGGCAGGACTGGATGAATCCCAATCTGGAATTAAGATTGCCAGAAGAAATATCAACAACCTCAGATATGCAGATGATACCATTCTGATAGCAGAAATTGAGGAGGAATTAAAAAACCTCTTAATGAGGGTGAAAGAGGAGAGTGCAAAAATGGTCTAAAGCTCAACATCGAAGCTACCAACATGAATTTGACCCAACTCCAGAAGACAGTGGAAGACAGGAGGACCTGGCGTGCTCTGGTCCATGGGGTCATGAAGAGTAGGACATGACTTAACAACTAAACAACATCATTTATAAAGCTTATCAAGTACACTGAAATCCTGGACTTGTTTCCTCCAAAGTAAACCACCCTCAGAAAAGCAGCTATATATAGGAGTGCAGACTTTCAAAACACATTTTATATACTACATAAAGTGTATACACACATTTCACTTGTTTTAAATGTAGTGTTGGAAAAGAGTTTTACAGATAGCATGACTTGTCAGAGAGATAAGTAAAGCAAATTAAGTGTGGACTCTCACTAGAGGCTAAAATAACCAAACAAAGGGTATTGTACTCCAGTGGCATCATGAGAAGACAAGCTCACTGGAAAAGGCAGCAATGAAGGAAAAAGTGCAATACAGTAGGAAAAGAGGAAGAATGCACGAGATGGATTGGCTTGATGAAGAAAGCCAGTCTTTGTAAGAACCTTTGTTTGGTGTTGCTGTCAAAGCGATTTGGGGAATAAACTCTTGCCTGCTTTGGGGATGAGAAATAGAGAAACGCAATTACTACACACTTCAGACATCTAGTCCCAGGTGTGTTGGTTATCTTTTACTAGGTGTTTGCTATTAGTGAAACTCTTCTAAATATTCTGGTTCTGCCCAGTACAAATTCAGGGTCTAAACAAAATCTTGAAGTACTTGCTCTTCTCAGCCGAAACTGCAGAGCTAAATGCAGTAGATTAAATTTTGAAGGTTCCTTTTTTCATGGTTTTATGAAAGAGCCATCTCTCTCACTCATACACATACATACACACACACACACACACGCACACACCCTCCCTCCATAAATTTTCTATAATCTTACCTTTAAATAAGGTTGATGAATCCACCCTTCCCTCTCTCGCACCTTCCTCCTTCCCGCCTTATTAAGCTCCAGTGGAAATAGTCATTCACAAGCCAGCTTGAGTGCCCGGGGCTGTTCTACAGCCCTAAACAATAAAGCCGGCTTATCTCCAATCTCTAAAAATACTGAAAACTTTGAACTACGCAATGGCACATTTCCTAAAATGATGCACTCCAGGAAGATTTATTACCTGATTTTAATTGTATAAACCAACTATGAATCACAGGTCTCTATCCAAAACAAACCCCAGCAAGAGCAAAGCAAAGTCAGAGAAAATATGTTTATGAGATATCTAGATACCATTTCGCTTTCCACATGCTGGGAGATTTTTATAATTGCTTTGAAATAACTTTAAACCATTAAGAAGCAAACACCTTGTGTGCATGTGGTTGAGTGTGTGGGCTACACCACAGTTGTACTGAAGGACTGCCATTAGCATGTAGGTTTTGGACAACAAAAAAGTTGTTGTGGAAGCAGGGAATGGCAGAAAGACCTTAATGCTACATGAATCCCCGTCACTCAACTTAAAACCACTGTACTATAATTATCAAAGAAACTATGGCATTTTCATTTAATAAGTTCATAAACACAAATAGGTTAAATAGACAGTACCTGTACTTATTCACAGTTTTCTTCATATCCACTTTGACTGTAAGTTTTTCCTTCCTAGCATAGACATCTGAAACTTTCACATCTGAGATTTTATTATGAGTGTCAACCTGAAGACTATTGGAAACATCTACTCTTCCCCTAAAATCATCATGTTTCTTTACTCTTTCTTTCTCTTTTTGATCAGCATTACTTTTGTAAGGTTTAGTACAAGAATTGCCGCCCTTCCCGGAAGTGTATTTCAGTACTGCTTCAGTGCGAGGCTCTTCAGTATGGCTTTCTTTCTCTCTGCTATAGTGTTCTGAATACTTGCTATCCCAGGAGCCTTTAGGATAATTATATTTTGGGTCTTCTAATTTCATGTATTTCTCTGTTCTTTCACCAGAAATATATTTTCCTCCAGTCGGATGTTTATGGCGCTTATGGCTATAGTCAGACGGAAGCTTTGTTTGACAACTGTCAGTGTATTCTTTCTCCACAGGCTGATAAGTGTGAAGACCACGATTTTGTTGTTCTTCCTTTTCATGGTTGGGTTTAGAAGAATGATCATGCTTCCATTTGGAATTGCTTGCTATTTCTCTATCATGATACCTCTCCACTTCTTTAGCTCTTTTATACGTGTGCCCGTACTCTCTGTAATCACGATCTTCACGATACCTGTGTTGACATAAAGTAGTTTATACTTGAAGTAAGGAAGAAAATGAGAACATATGTATGCAGAATGCTGGGAGATAAAGGCTTTGGGTAGAATGTGTCACCCTGTGATCCCTCAAGCCACCAAAGAGAGGAGGAAATTATGATCCTCATATATGCTAGCCACCAACAGAATTAATATACAAGATACAATACTCCGCTACTATCAGTGGCCCACAATTAAGCTACGTTTTATTCTCTTAGGGGGAAAACACTTTTCAGGGTAGAAATCTTCAACTATAAGGACAATTGATTTTCACGTGAGGCCGTACATCATTAAAAATCATTAAAACTGGGCAATTTCTCTACCTCTTCTCGAAAGAGCTCCTTGGAATAAATTCGTTAGAAAATCTTCGAGGTGAATGAGTAAACTTGTTTTCTTGTAACAGATGATGCCTCAGGTCTGTGTCATTCCACTTCCTTTCAAACTTACAAGAAGTCTCCAATGGCCTATGAAAAGTCGTCATCCCCTTTGTGTTTCCAACAGATCGGTTATCTTCATGCATCTCTCTGACACGTGTTTCGGATGGATAAAAAGACTGACTGTGTTCTTTGTGGGAGATCTCTGAATATCTAGAAGTAAACTGGCATCCTCTGATGCTTTCATTCCTTTCAGGTGACTGTGTTCTACAGGTTTTATGACTATATTTATCTTCTGAAGGAAATCTCTTCAGAGTTGGGGAATATGACCTACATTCATAAAGTCGATGGTGGTTTGTTTCATGTGGTGAATATCTAGAATTCACTTGTCCATGTTTCCCATCCTCTGTTCTCCAAGACACAGGCCTCTTTGGGTCTTTTCTGAAAACCTTGTATTCAGAATCATAATTAATGTGATTGTGCCTCTGTCTGTTGTGTTCCTGACTCCTTGCAGCAGGTGATAAAGATCTACATAAAAACACACACATAAAAATAATTCGATTTTAAGTACTGCAATAGAATTTTAATTGGCAAGTTTGAGGCTGCAGGACAAACTATTGGGGGGGGGGAGTCTGCTGAAGTTACCTGTAGTGGCTTGGTGTATTCTGGGAGATGCAATGGGGACGTTTTAAAAGACCTTATAGGCATGCATTCTAGCTTCCTTGACAATTTTTAAAATCACCGAACATGTACACTTTGACACAGCCAAAGACATTCACAACTAAAATTAGTTCCTAAGCACAGATCTTCATCAGATGGTCAGAAAGCTTCTGGTCTCTGCACATAAAGCTTATTCCAGTCTATCACATCAGAAATGTATCAAGATGCTGAATTTAGTGCTAGAATCCTGAAATCTCTATTTCTGTTTAGCCAACCGTATTCCATCAGGTCATTATTACTTTCCTACCTGATATCTGCTCAATGAAGAAAACTGTGGACTCCACACTTCTGTTCTTATTGTTAGGGTATTGCAGACTATAATCCAACACACCCTCATTCATACCTTCTCACAGAATAATTTAATGGTCTCTTTTGGCAAAGTACAAGAAATCCATATGATCACGTGTGAGCAATTACCTTCGTTTCCATCTGGGTGATCTTGATCGTGATCTAACCATCTTCTCAGATACTTATAACCAAACTTCTTGAAGCTATAAATAAAATAAAGAAATGATTATTTAACATCATCTAAGATCTGTTAGAGTGGGAAAGATATGAATGAAAAACTCCAGTTTAATGTTTAAATAATCAGAGCCTGTTTATTTCTGGAGAACGCTCTCTGGTATTTAAATGTTTTACCAGTCTGCTGAAATGAAAAACCAAAACAGATCATGTCTAGAAGACAGGGTGGATAAAAATCATTTTTAAGCAAAACAATTTAAATTTAAAAATCCAATGCAGATGGTCTATCATGTGATTCTTGTTGACCTTCTTAGCTGTCCACTATGGGAAGTGCCAGGGCAAGACTGGCATGTGTATCTGCATGTCTCTCTGTGATTCCAGTTTATATAACAGCTTAATAACAATTATTTTTCAGATGTCATTAACATGTTGCAGGGGCAAACCCAGCAAGTCACTTACACACAGACCATGACTCTACTACACACACCACTTCTATTTTCATTTCCATCTCTTTGTATAGGTTTTAATACGCTTCATTTTCATTGCAGTATCCACCCACCCAATCTCTTATACTGTACAGTGTACATTTCAGTTTCTTTTGTTGTTATTAACAGCAAGCATATCCCAATATCAGAGAAGTGGCTCTACACAGTGCTCAGTCATGAGTAGACTATGTCCCAAAAGAATAGAAAAAGTCAAGAAAATCATCATAAAAATCACAGCTCTACCAAACCGAAAGTTGGCTATGTAAGGTTGAAGTCACAGCCAGAGGAAAAGCCTTCTCCTCCAGATCAGCAATGCAGTCACTTTGGTAGTGTGAGAAAAGCTAGCATCATGCACAGGATCTGCTTTGGGATAAAATAGGACTAACAAACTACAGTGAAGATGGTGTGTTTATCCTGTGAAAAGAAACTGCTAACAGGTTTTAACTTAGGGTCTTTAACATTCGTTGCAAAATCAAGTCCTTTAAGACCCTGAAAAGGAAAATTTAGAAAACTGAGGAGAAAGAAGGGAGGGGGGCCTCACAATGAGAACAGCACAGTTTCTTTTACAACTTTTTAAAGATATATGAACAATCTACCACAGTTTCTTACAAATAAAAGAATGGTCTAGGTCTTCTCTGGCTTTACTGTCTAACAAAATTAAAGAACAGAAACAAAAAATTAATTTCAGGGCATAGCTTGGGCTGATACACATTTGGGTCTCATACAGAACAGCCCTTGGTGGCGCTGTGGGCTAAACCGCAGATGCCTGTGCTGCAAGGTCAGAAGACCAAGCAGTCGTAAGATCAAATCCACACGACGGAGTGAGCACCCGTCACTTGTTCCAGCTCCCGCCAACCTAGCGGTTCGAAAGCATGCAAATGCAAGTAGATAAATAGGGACCACCTCGGTGGGAAGGTAACAGCGTTCCGTGTCTAAGTCGCACTGGCCATGTGACCACGGAAGATTGTCTTCGGAGAAAACGCTGGCTCTATGGCTTGGAAACGGGGATGAGCACCGCTCCCTAGAGTCGAACACGACTGGACAAAAATTGTCAAGGGGAACCTTTACCTTTACAGAAAATAATGCTTAATTCAGCCAGCTGGCAATGGGGTTGCACATCCCTGCAAGATCGGGCTAACTACTAGCTAGGTAAGCAGTAGCCAGGAATGCCTTCTATCATCTTAATACCTGTATACCGGCTGTGGTCCTGTCAGAAGAAGCAGGACCCAGGATTATCTCTGGGAAGAAACTTCAAATGGTGCAAGAGAAGACCACATATTTAATGGCCTGCTAATGTGTGGCAAAATGTCTTACATACAATTTTTAAATTGCATTTTGAATTGCACTCCTCTCATGTAGTTCTAGGAACAATTCAAAATATGACTATTAAGGCCCTATGAGGTTTCGGACCTGTTGCTTCAAAGACCATTTGCATCTAAATGACCAAAGTCATAAGCTAAAATACCAGAGGTCCTGCTCATCTGCCTGCCAGTGAATTTTCAGTGGCAGCTCACAGGTGTGGGTCTGGCATTCACTTCACCAATGTGAGTCTGACACTCAAGAAAGCATTAAAACTGATTTTGTTGCTGCTATATTCTCATCTCTAAACTGTATGATCTAAAGCAGTTGTTCTCATCCATCTATTTAGCTAGGTAAAAATTCTGCTTAATGTTCAACTTTTCTGTGCGCGCATGTTGCTCTGTGAGCCTCACTAGAAATATAAAGACTTGAAATCTGATAAACTGAATGCACAAATAAAAACTGATTCCAAGTAAACACAAGCTTTAAGAAATAGGAACGTTCAGCTAGTTAAGAAAACACAATTAAATCAATCATAAACTATTATCGGAATGTAGCTCACACTCAGCACAGCTGTATCAAAAGTCAGAAGTGTATTATGATGTAGATGGCACAACTATTCTTACTGTACTTAAATCATCAAAGTAGCACCATTCTGTCCTCTGAGAAAATATCCTTACAAAAAGAGATATCCAAGAAGATCTCATTTTTTGTCCCTTTTGTGTCATGGTCACTGGCTTCTGACCAATTTTCAGCAGACAATACATTCAGACAATCAGTTTATTGTACTAAAATCTGTTTCTGAAGCACCTATGTAACTAAAAGCTTGAATTCTATAAAAGTATCTGAAAATACTTATAAAGGGCTGACCTCTAAATGAGGTGGGCTACAGGATTCAGCATGAACAGCTACCTACCGCTTACACTCTCTCTTCTGTGAAGTTTAATAGTATGAAGCAGCTCCCTCAGAAATACAGATGCATTTTTATCTACCTCTTGATAAGGTATTTTGTTGACGTTGTTTCAAACTTCCAAGTAAAATGTTGATGCTTTGCATGCTGCTGTCCCACATTTTCATGCTTAAGAAAGAACTTTATTTCAATAGCTCTTGACTTGCGCATCACAGTTACTCAAATTGAGTTATCTGCACCAAGATTTTTCATTGTTCCACTTGGGGGACTCAGAACTACAGATACTTCCATCTGTTCATAGTCTTCTTCTTTTCTCAGACTCTTGAAACCCAGCTCCATAGCAACACTCATATTTGAGCCTAGGCAGCCATGGTCAGAAAAGAAAACTTGAGACTTGTCCTGTGTTTCTGCCTCTCAGGTGACTTAACCTCAGCTCTGTCAAGAGTCGTGAATCCTGTACAAACTATCAGGGCAACATGTTCATTCAACATGCAGGGAGGGGTGTACTTGTGCTACTCTCTTTGATGCAAAAGCAACAGATCTGAAAAGATGAACTATCTACCCCAAAAGCTCTTCATCTCAGAAATTCAGTTCCCCATGCTTTGGCTCACAGGATGAACAAGTAAGGAAAGAAACCTCCACTCTGTCATGTTCCTATGAGCAAAACAACAATAAAGAGGATGGATCCCCTTATTTGACTGCTGAATGAAGACACTGCCTTAGCAAATGAACAGCCTTAGGTCTGTCACACTGACATTACAATACTCAAGATCAAGCGTAGATAACAGTCTTTTCTGCTGCTCTCTGACTTCTCATAATGTGACCCAGTGACAGTTCCTAACAATATGATATCCTATAACAGGAAAGAATATGATGCTCCTATGGCAGGAAAAAAATGGTTCCTGGAGGCTCCTAACATAGCAAAATTCTTGTTTTAAAGAGAAAGCCATGTGCACATGCACACCCTCTTCCCTCTTTTTTGTTGTTGTCACCATGGGAATAAATTTAGTGACAGGAAGGTCATGGCTGATCCAAAGAGGAGGAGTGCCTTTTGCTCCGTCAGATTTACACTGCTTTCTCCTACCCCATCTTTGTATCACAATTCCTGAAAATGGTCAAAAGATCAAAAATGTCATGCTGGCATATCCTACAAAAATTCTATTAACCTAAGAGTATTAACATTTGAATGCTGCAAAACTATTTCATACCTCCTGGAGTTAGCATGACCAAGTCATGACAGCATGTACAACAGAATTTATTGTTTAATAGTACCATGACTCCTACCTGGAGGTTTGTTTTCTTAAAATGAATACAAAAAAATAATAAGTTACAACATATTTACAAAACTAGGTCACAGAAGATGCCAGGGCAATTAAATAAAACCTGCATTTCAGGAGATCACCTGCCTTTAAGTGATCTGCTCAATTAGCATGTGTGAAGGAGTGGTAGACCAAAAAGAAAAAGAAGAGAGCTAGTCGTCCCCTTGCCTAGAGACCTGGGGGGGGGGAGGAGAAGAGAGAGATAGAGATAGAGAAGGAAGATAACAGAAAGTGAGGAACTGAGTGTGGAAGAAGAGAGAGGAAGGGAATCAACACTGAGTGTGGAAGAAGAGAGAGGAAGGGAATCAACGAGAAAAGAAGAAAAGATTGAAATCTGTTTGGTAGAAGAGGGAGAAAGAAAGGGGGGGGAGGAGTTAATCTTGCCTGTGTGGGAAGAGCATACTGTATAGGAGATCAAAATGGGAGGAGACAGTTTAGTATACCCAAGGGAGAGAGAAGGAAAGAGGAGAAATGTAGAGAGAGAAAAAGGTAAACAGAGATATGAAAGAGTGTGTGGGTTATTAGATTTCCCTAATCTGAAGGTAGGACCTAATTTGAAAGGTAGGAGGATTACTGCCTAACCCTGACCTGTCAAAAGGAAAAGGGAACATTGACAGAAGCGCTAGAATGGACAGTTGTTGTCTTTCCACGGGGACCAGGTCACTTGAGGAAGGTGATCCGACCAGACCAATCCTTCAGCCAACCACCACCAGAGGAAGACTGGGCCAGACACCCTTGTTGTGGGACAATTTGCGTGGTTCGGAGTGCTCCAATGAGGAAACCCACCGACCAGGAACATTCTGGGCCAGCCCCTCAATAAACCTTACCAATTTACAGATGGAGTTCTCGTCTTCACACTTTCGACAGTTGCCAGATTTCATTTGTTTTGAACCCATAATTGTTGTGGAATCACCAAATGTTAAACCAAATAAATCTGTTAATATTTCAAAGGAGGCTCAGTTGTCATTTCCCGGTAAAAGAAAGGAGCTGCTTCAAATCTTTAACAAACTCAATCACAGCATGTTTTGTTTCCTTTCTATTGTGAACATTATAAATGATAAAAAGGAATCTGGTGGTACATGCAGTACAAAGAAAAGAAATACTTTTTAGCAACTGCAGTTCTCTTCAACATTCAGCACCCCTTTACTGTTCTGCATTATACTTGTCCATGCATATATCAGGCTTGCAAAAAAGAGTTCAGAAGTCATATTTTTGTCACCAGCAGCATATTATACCTTTGAAACAAAATACGCTCCATAATCTGGTGAACTGTGGATAAGTCTTGCCCAGCAAGGTATATATTTCATATAATTTTGCCCCTATATTTTAGAGATGCTTAGTTCTTCTCTCCATTATTAGTGGGACATCTATGTCAGTCTGCTATAGCAAAAAGAATACAAAGTCTCATGGCATTTTAAAGACTAATTCATTTTATTTATCCTAAGTATTCATAGATTTCAGCCTACCTCAAGTGGGCTGCACTCTGTGAAAGTATGCATTGTTGCGTAAGATGCTACAAGATATTGTGTTGCTTCTCCATTTCACTGCCTAAAACCATGATATTCATCAAAGGTTTATTTCATAAATTTAAGCTGCCCATTAAACTGGCTACAAGAATAATACAACTTGCCACAAGATTAATAAGGTTTGCATTCAATGGGTGTGAATGATTTTTTCCACAGCCCTGCCTTAATGAAATGGAAACCACTATGTCAGTCTAAACAAACTACTACATCTGGGGAACACATTTAACTGTGAAAAACAATCTGTTGGAAACTGAAATCTGTCTTGTGAGCAAACTTACATGACTAACGTTCAGTACATGCCCCTTTAAAGGCACCAGCATTCAAGTTAACTTACTAGAAAAAGAACAAATCCCGTCAAAAATTGTACAATATGTACTAACTTCAAGCAAAGTGATGACCATATTTAATGCTGACCAACAAAACTGCCATTGCATTCTGCAAGGCTAATGGTTGCTTCGACACTTGCCTTCCAGTGGTCACTCTCTGTGTAAACTTGTCTTATGAGTGGGGTGCAACAGAGATTTACCTGCACATGTGGCTAAACACATTTAATCCTTAATATTTGTGTAGTGCAAGGGATCTGTAAGCAGCATATCTGGAACTTTGGGATTATAAGGTATTCAAAAGAGTCGTAATTATTCCTAAACAGCTATTTATTTTAGTATATTATGCACCTTCCTCCAGGAAATACATGAATTACAAAGCTGGGAATATGATTTAAAATCAGTGGTTTAAATCTATCATGTCTGAATATCAGAGTTTTCAATTCTTACATTCTACAACAAGAAGAATGCACAAGAGGCAAAACACACCTGATCCTGGACACTTGTGACAATTGAAAATGAATGTGTACAATATAGAGTAAAAGAGTGTACAGTATTACTTATAATTATTTCATCTTCTTGGATCCTCTACTAAGCAAGTCTCAAAACTGAAGTAAATGAATTTTCCAAAGCTTTACAACATTATTTACAGGCTAATAAACGTGGCACTTTGCTGAGTAACACTGAACAAAAAATAGCCAGGCAGTATCAACCATTCCAGGCAGCACCTAACAAAAATATTAATACACAGCAATTCTTCTGAAAATAAAAAGAAGCAGAGACTGGAGGCATTCACAGGAAGGTTTTTTAAAAAAATCAGAACTGTTGATCATAATAAAGGAATGAATGAAAAGTTTTTAACAATTCTTTCAAGACAAGACTAGGTTAAATATTAACGTAAGAGCACTTCTGCTGGGCATGACCAACGCTAGTACCTGATTCCCCACCAGCGAATAAGATACTTCTGGGTAGCTCACAAGCACAGCAATAGCCCACTCCCATTGCCTCCTAGCAACTGGTACTCAGAATAAGTAAAAACAGCCAATCCCTATTATTACCTTGTCAGCACTTCTCCAGAGTGTGAGTTGCTATGGAGCAACAATGGAAGATGGTTTGTACTTTTGTACTTCTAGGCTTCTCAGAAATATCTGTGTAGTCACCACTATGAGCCTGCTTCAAGTTTCCAGTATAATGGCCAAAAGGTTATTCTGTTGGATGAAAAAATGACTGAGCACCAAACACAAGTTTATATAGTTCATAGTACAGTAGATACACAGATATGAGTGTTCTTCCAGAAGTATAAATAAAAAAACAGACAGACACATACTTGTTATTTCTGCCAGTCTCTATTTCCCTGGATATTTATGTCAGTCTCAATTTCCCATTTGTCCTAACCAAACATGAAAATAATACATTGTTCCAAGGTGTCATGATTTTTTAAATATGGTGATTAAAATCTTATTCGATTTAAAGCTCTCTTCTGTACTCACAACCAGAGTACTTAAATGATAACTATCCTTAAATCAGTTCCTTGCAAAATAGGGGTTCTAAGTACAATTATTTTGGTGTTATGGATTGGCAATAATCCTGGATTAATTCACATCACATCAAATTAATTTTACAAATGTCACATTCCTTGCCGTTTACAACACTTTAGCCTAGCTGCAGTTCATAACATTCTAACCTAACTTCTCTCATAATCTGGGCACCCACACAACCCTGTTATCACCACTACCTGAACTTTATTTGAACTACATACCAGTTAAGACCTTAAACTAAAATTAAAATACTAAATATCCTAGTTTTACACCAAGACTGGCCCCTGGCATTACGCAGAGTAATGAAGCCGTTTCAGACAGCACTTGAGAAAAGGCAGCAATTTTTTCAGTTATTTCCATTGACATTTCTTGCGCTAGCGATGGCAAGTGGTGCTTATGCCTTAGACACCAAAATCTTGGCTAGTTTTCAGTGCTATACCTTGATGCAGGGATGCCACTTGACACAACTCGTTGCTCTTCCTCAGGTAGCAAAATATTCTGGCCCAAGCCTGTGCTACTTTTTCAAAACCATTCGCCTACACTAGAAACCCCTTTCTTCATTAAAAGCATAGACCAAACGAAGGTGACAATGGTATCAAGGTTGGTCGGGCTCAGCCGTTCCCGTTAGGAAAGAAGGCCTGGCAAGGGCACCTCCATCCACCAAGATGACAGGAGCTGGGTGGCAGAAAAAGCAAGATTTTTCTTCAGTTCCCAATAGTAACGGGTAGTGGCGGATGAAGAGCGGCCTCCCTCTCCAAACCGAGATGGTCCTGGGTGTAGCCCCCCTGCCTCAATGTAACACACACACACACACACAGAGAGAGCTCCTCCGTGAGGTCACATCTTTCCTGCCCCCCCGCAGGGCAGGTCTGCCCGGTCCCCCCCCCCCGCCATCCCCCCTCCCCCCCACCCGGAGGGGGGGGGGGAGAGAGGAGAATCTCGGCGGCACTGCAGGCCCAGGAAGGGGGGGCGGGGCCCCGGAGGCGCCTACCTTGCCAGCCTGCCGCCTCAGCCGTCCCAACCGCCTTCGCCCGCCGCCAGCGACTTGCAGCTCGGGGGACCCCACTTTCCGGCGGTCTCCGTCCTCGTCCCCACGTTCAGCTCCGCTTCACAGCTGGGGGGGAGGGGGGGAAAGGAAATACGAGCCCAAGCCGCCCAACGAGCAGGAGGAAGAGCCTTGGCCTCCGCCTTCTCCTCCCACCGACACCCGCAGCAGCCGCTGCCCAGCCTCTCTGCCTGCCTGCCTGCCTACCTCGGCCCCCCTGCCCCGCCCCTGCAGAAGGGCTGGGCCACGTGCCCCGGAAGTAGAGGGGCGGGGACGAACGGCTCCCGAGGCGCCCCTGACGACCCTCAGGAGGGCGAAGGCAACGTCTCGCCGCCGCCCTCCCCCCCCCCTTTCTTCCACGCCAGGCCTCGGCCCCCTTTTGTCTTCCCCTCATGGGCCCCGGCGGCTTCCTGCTTCCTGAAGGGCCACGTTTCGTTGCGGCTCTAGATTTCATCCAGGGAATCTGAACCCTGGACCCAAAGGAGGAGGAACCTTGCTCTGAGAGCTAAGAGGGGAGGGCACGCACTCCTCCCATGATCAGAAGGGCGCCGCCCGTATTCCAAGTGCCCGGCCTGGCTTAGCAGTTTTGTTGACTGGGATGGTTCCGAAGCGCCCCCTTTTTCCCCTTTGCTCAGGAGATGAACAACCTCTTTTCTGTGCTCTTAAAAGGAGCAGAAATCGCTTGCATTGCGCTTCCCAGGTGCTCTGCGAGGGGCTTTCTGGTAGTCGGGAAGGGAAAACTGCCGCTCTCCGAATTTAACTTTTCCACACGCTAATTAGCTATAATTTTTTTTAAGTACACTGGCGTGGGAAGTCCGAATACATATGCATGGGAGGAAGCACTAGTCTGTCACAAGAGGCCCTTGGCTGGGTAAGAGTATGTCACAACAATGAGCAGAAAGAAAAGAGAGAGAAAAGCGTGGGGAAATTCGGAAGAGCTGAATTACCGGGAACTGCAAACTCTCGTTATATCAGCAGTAATTTACACCGGCGGCTTGTGTGACAATTCGAGACGTCAAGGGGAGATTTGTTGGCCGTGTCAGCGGTAATCGACCTTGGATCATTGTGTAGGCAAAATGGGTTCCATCCAAGAGAAATTCAGATGGTTTAAGAAAATCTCAAGGCTTGCAGAAGTTGTACCCAGAGAGCATATGAAGGACAGAAAGCCAACGGGGAGGGTAATCGAATGAAATCTGTTGGAAAACGGTGTAGCCGGTAAACACGTTGATAGAAGCTACCCCAGTCTGCAACGTTTTGCTGCAGTCCCACTTGTTGATTCCACAGTGATCTTTCGTACCACCAAGCTCAAGGGTACTTAAGCTGAGGTAGTTGTTTTGCTAGTAAGTATTTCAGGCAAAATCAAAAAATAACTATCCTCTGATAACTGCTAGCAGCAGTTATTAGAGGATATACTCCCCCCCTTCATCAGGAATGATTCCTTCTCTACTCTTCATTGTTACATATCCATAATGCCTTATTTTCTTATCTTGCTAAACAGTAGCCCGTTTCATTGCTGGCACATCCTCATTCCTAGGGCATTTCACCTAAGAATGAGGATCAGCAAAATGTCATACAAATTCTTCACAGCATTTTTTCTCATATCCCAAATAATTGAAGAACTCAACACTTGGAAATTCTTTATTAAATTTGTATATTTTGTTGCTCTGTCCTAAACAGAAATTTCCAAATGCCAGTCCAGCCATCATCATAACTGTTCAAAGCATCCTGCAATAACCTTACCTACCAGCATGTGAGTAACCATAGAAATGTTCCCAGAATTGTAAAATACAGGACTGAGACTGACAGTGGTGTACCTGTGACTATCAGTGATGTACAGTTTGAACCAGTTGGCTCACAGCTTGTGGTTCAGAAGCAGCCTTCTTTCTTAAATGCACAGTACGTTCTGCATTGTTTATCAAAGAATATTTCTCCATATCATCATGTGCCAGTTGTCAAGAAGCTAAATGAAAATTTCATGAAACTAGAAAATAAACAATTTCACCTTGCATCCTTTTGGATCTTACTGAGCATCAACCACTTCTCCGTGGATTGCCACTACATTTAATGTCAAGGGATCAGCTTTAAAAGGGTATAACTGCATCATCCAACATTTACTAAATGATTAATCAAGACTGTCCAGGTGTGGCATAATCTTGTTTGACAATGGCTATTTAACACAGCAAGAGCTGTAACTTTGTATCACTGCTGTATCAACTTTGAGAATCCTCTAATTAGATCTGATACAGAGATCAGTGGCTGGAGAAGCCTACACTGAATTTCTGCTAATAATTAGGTGATTTTCCACATTTAAATTCAAAATATGTGTCTGGGACACAATTCTTCAGACAGACTTCCTTTTCTATTTTGAAGTGTGTTGCTGTGGGTAGGTCACCAAACAAAATAAAATTAAATAACTAAATCTTCACTGACCAACTGATGACCTGTGCATCAATCTGTATTTTAATAAGCCAATGTTCAGAAGAAGAAAAAAATCTTTATTATGCAAGACAGAACATGTATATGTCACAACAGGATATTTCAGAAGAGGGATCTTCTGTGTAAGAGAAATCGAGGAATTTGTCTTCCAGGATAGTGCCTGCCTTTCTTAAGGCTTCTTGAATTAAAAACTATTACTGTAATAAAATCTGCAACCCAATGCATTCCATGAATCTTTAAAAATCGTAAAGCATTGTTAACCAACATATCAGCAATGGCTGAAACTGCAGCAATTTTCTTTATTTCTTTGTCTACCTTCTCAAGTATTTGAAGGATTGTATCATCTGTACAATGCAGAGGTGGGTAAAGCAAGACCTATAGTACCTCTTTGGAGTCCTAGTGTAGACCCTTAGCAATACAGCTACTACTGTACTTGCAAAACCGGCATGTTCATCACTATACAAAGGACAAATCCACTATTTTGATCCTACTACCTCAAATTGTTTCGCAGCTCATTATAACATTATTATCCCATGTACTTTTTAGCCTAGTTTTTGTACTTACACAGTTGAAGCAAGCAAAATATCAAATCTATTTCTTCTGCTGTTACACCACATGCAAACCACACTCTTAAAACTACCAGAAATTACAGTTTTTGATTCCTTTAGTCAGAAGATGGCAAGAAGCACCAGTACTGGAAAACATAACTACATTTTTAGTACATATGTATTTCATTGTTGGTGTTTTTGACATTATATACAGATTCATCTTTTAATTGCTCCACTACTTGTGGTTGCATGTAGTTGGCACAAAAGGTATTCCTGCTGTACTGTTACAGATTTGTAGCCCTTATTCACACAAGATTTTGCTGAAAAGTACTGTAGCTTGGAATTATAATGAAAATACAGTAGACTGTAGGGATGTGAATGTGATACTTTAAAAACCAGGAAAAGAAAGGAGAGGGAAATAAGGACGTAAAGGAAAAGTATATTTAAGTATCAACAATTTGCATTTGGCATAATCATATTTTCAGGTGTGTGTAATTTAAGGAACCATTTATATAGTTAATATTAAACTTTGAATTCTCAATTGTTCAAACAGAAGGTTCCACATTCTTATGACTACCTGAGAAAACACTGCAATATACACCTGCATGGTGGGGAGTGTATCTTTAGTTATATGCCATAATCAAAGTGTGGTATATAATCAAACATGCTACTTGATTTTACAAAAACAAACAGACCCAAAACATCATTACTACAGTATTGCAACCATATGTTATCAGTGTAATTTTTTATTATTTAGGAGAGAAATTGAAGAATTAACTTGGAAGACACTGTACCCATGCTACAACACACTGCACAGCCACCAAGGGAGTAATTTTTGCTGAAATACAACATAAATATTGTAAGCATTTGTGTATACCACCACTTAGTTTCATTTACTACTTATATTCTTCAAAAGGGGCCATTTTGAGAGTCACATGAACAGAGCTACATTACGTCTTAATACACCCCTACATATAAAAGTATCTAGTCTTCTTAGCTTCAACAGAATTGTTGTAAAGAATGGACAAAATTGTCCTTTCGGGAGCACAGAAGTTTCTGTTCACAACATATTGAAATTCTTTGTGCATAGTCTGGGCTTAGTAGAACACTTTAAAATTCCACTGATTTCAAATTAAAAAAAATCTAAGTCAAGTGCTTGACTTTCCAACAGAAATCAATAAATCATAAAATGTTTAATTGGGCTGGAGCATTCCCTTTTTATAGATTATAGAATGTGTACACATTCTTAATAAGAACTTTCTTCATAAACATGTTTATCGATTGAGATGCTTATAGACTATTGTGTTTTATGAATACAACTTTCACCATTCATGATTATGTATTATAGTATTTTGTTGCCCATGTCTATATACTGTATATTATTTACTTTTGATTATATGATGCTGAGCTGTAGGCTGTTAGAACCCTATCAGTGAAGGCGGGCAGATATTGATAACAGATGCTATATCTTGAACATTTAACATATCATCAGCATGGACTCCATTATACATTTGCTTATACAATAATATGATACACATAATTAAAGGTATAGGTCTTTTTTCATAAACAGTTAAAATTAAATACACTTTAAAGACCCTTTGTAATATCTTACTAATTCCTTTAAGCATTATATTAGTGGAAAACCCCCTTTGTGCCATCTAAGCTAACAACAGATAAAAATAACACAAATTAAAAAAGACTTGCTATGTACCATATTTTAATGAGAGATAACCTTAATGTTCCACTGTCTGCAAGATAACCTCTGAGATTCCAGCAATTGCATATTTTTCAAGCCTTCTCAGTTATAAATATGCAACAAAATGTCTATAATAAATGTATTAAAAACAAGACTTTCCCCAGATAAAAACAAACCAAAAAGGTAGGCATATGGCAAAGAAAGGAACTATATTTCATTCTAATGTTGGTTTACAAAAAATATCCTGAAATTCAGTGATAAAATTAAAAGGATTTCACAATAAATGAATGGACTCATCTGAAGCCCAACGGCATATATTTAATATCCATGTTTTCCTAGTAATTTAAATTCTAAACAAACCAACAGAAAACAACAACAACAATGTTCCCTGAAACCAGTCAAAGTTGAAGATTTTCCTCTTGGCCAAAACGATTACTTTCTCAACAATGCACATGGGAAGACAGTACGTTCAGTGCAGACTGACATGATTTCCAGTGTTGCGGACTGCAGCAAGCTCTTATTTTTCTGACAATAGCAGTGAAAGTGTTCTGTACTTCCAATGTCCTCTGTCAATCAGAAAAAGAAACACTGATCTTACAGAAATGAAATAATTCAATTTCACATTGTATTATACATCAATATTCTTCTACTTGTTTTCAATTTCATTTTCAATTACTGAAGGAATAAAAGCATAACAGAGAAATCTGAACAGGTATTAGTCAACAAGAGAAAAGAATCACATTTCTTACAGCCATCTCTATCTATAGTCTCTTTAAATTGTTGCCTAGGTTTTCTATAGGACCTGTGAAGACCTTCTGCAGCCATGGGAAATAGGCTGATGGACGGCACAAGGATGAATTTAAAAGTGGATATGAAATGGCATGGGCAAGCTTTTAGGTCAACTGAATCTTGGTATAAATTTTGCTTCTTCAAATCCTAAGGGGAAGTAAAAGGCAGAGTTGTTGCTAAATAGTTAAAAATGATTTGCAAAGGGTTTGGGTTTTTTTCCCTTGTATAAAATTTTATTTATGTAACTATGTCACCTGAGGAAAGCTATCCCAAATTCTCTGGGAACCCAAATTCTGGGTGACTGTATATCCCTCAAGTAGTGTTTTATATGCAATATCCTAATATTCGTGGTAGACTGTCAGCTGTAATCTTTTTCTTGTTTTCCTTTAAATTTGTTTTTGGTGAAGAAAGGTGTACTGGAAGTGATCGCTAACTGGTTACACTCTACAAGAATACTGTACCTTATTGCTGAGTACCAGTGTGTTTGTCAACAAAAGGTGTTGAGAGTTGTCTCCTGCCCAGGACTATTAAATCCATCAATTAAGTTTTTATTACAATCATCTATGCTAATACTTTCACTTGATAATTTGGGGTAAGTGGCTTGGCCAGTAAAATCTAGTAGTTCTTCAAGAGCTTTCCCATTGTTTGAGCCATTCTGGTCCAAAGAAACACCAGGCATCATTTCATTTAATGGTGAGAACTCAGGGATGGATATGAGTTCTTCTTTCGAAGCAGGGCTATATAAAGAAAAAGGAAGGAAAAGAACCAAGTTAATACCATATACAGTACATGACAATGAAAGTATCCTAGAGTGTAGAAGAATTTTCTTGTCCTCACTCAGTTTCTAAGGAGTGGAAGGGAGAGAGTAGATAATACCGTATGTAATATCAATTCACCCCTGAATTTATTAAATTTGCAATCCTATGCACACCTAACCTTGGAAGTGAGTGCTAATTGACATAGTGGGATTGGCTTTTGAGTATGTATACATAGGCTTTGACTGTGTGAATTCAATCTCCATCAATAATGATATAATTTACTGTTTTGCACAGCAAGAAATGAAATATTGGTTCATATGTGACCATTGGAAGAGGAGGACTAATAAAAGAATTGGGGAGAAACAGAATTTTGACATGTTATAAAATAAATTCAAAATATTCAGGTCCAAGATGCGATATCATTACTTTAGGCAGACCTGTAACTAGGATGGCATGACCTGGGCACCAACATTTTGGGGAGGGGGGAGGAACACAAAAATTTGCTGCTGGAAAGACATGAACCTGGCCATTAGTATTTGCTGCTAGACAGGCACCAACTCTTTCATTTTAAGTGCATATACTGCACCTAACAGCTTTTCCTGGGGCAGAAGGAAACACAAAATAGGAAGGCTTAGCATGGAACTGATCTGGCCATCATGCACTCAGAGTGAGATATTCCTCTCTGTTTCTCCAGCCACTCTCCACAGACACTAATATCACATGATCCAAGCTTGAGTAATAGGGCAGCAAAGCCCCAAGTGTCTACGTTGCTAGTTATGGCTCTGACCTGAGATGTCAATAAAGGCTACTATGAATCCAGTTAAAAAAACAAATACATTGCAAAATGATGGCATAGATGGTGATGTAACATACAAAAGCATAGGTCTGCATCAGCATCAGGCACATAGAACTAGTTCTGTGGGTCTTGGGTTCCTAATCAAGACAATTCTTTTTAAATGAAACACACATACCTCACGTCCATAGACTGCACTTCATCTGTTGAATCATCCATACTGTTAGATTTTCCATCCACTGCATCCAGTTGAATAAGGCCCATGAATGGCTTAAATCCATTAGAAAAGACATCCCGAGGGAAGGAATCGGGCACAGCACTTGGTAGGCCTTTATCCTCTTTGCAGTTTGCAAGGCCATTCATTTCTACCCAAAAAAGGATGATTTTTTTAATTGGTACATTTATGTCATTAACATTATTCATGAAAATAACAGTTTTTATTTCTATACAGAGACTGTTCTATAGAAAGCACTGTTATTTGTTAGGCAGCCAGTCACTGAGGGAAAGTTTGCCTGAAGAGAAAGGTCTTCACCTGCTTGTGGAGGGACAACAAAGAGGGAGCCAGCCTGACTTCCTATGGAAGGGAGTTCCAAGTCTGGGAGTAGCCAGAGGGAAGGCCCCTCTCCCCACCAAACACACCTGTGAAGGTGGCGGGACTGAGAGAAAGGCCTCTCCTGATTAACTTAACACCTGAGCAGGCTCATAAAGGGAGACCCAGTCCTTGAGATAGCTTGGAACAAAGCCATTTAGGGTTAGAATCGGCACTCTTAATTTGTGCCCTGAAATGGATTGGCAGCCGCTGCTGCAACAGGGAGGGTTATGCAATCCTTGTCACTAGCCTCAGTTAGCAATCTGGCAGCCACGCTTTGGAGCTGCTGAAGTTTCCTGACAAGACGCCCTGTGTAGAGTGCATTACAGTAATCTGGCTGGGATGTTTAGCCCAATCAGATATCTCCAGGAACAAGTGCAGTTTTTTATTGTGCAAATGCACTCCTGGCCACCACCAAAACCTAGGCATCCAGGCTCAGAAGTGAATCTAGGAGCACCTCTAAGCTGTGCACCTGTGTTTTCAGAGGGAGTGAAACCCCACCCAGCACAGGCTTCATCTGTATTCCTTGATCTGCCTTTTGACTGACCAGGAGCACCTCTGTCTTGTCTGGATTAAATTTAATTTTATTCACCTTCATCCACTTCATTACTGATGCCAGACATTGATCTAGAGCTCAAACAACTTCCTCAGTTTTAGGTGGAAGGATAGAGTTGGGTCTCGTGCCTAATGGTAACATGAACCCCAAAACTCCAATTTCTCCTAGCTGTTTCATGTAGATGTTAAATAACATAGGAGAGAAAACAGAACCCTGAGGGACTCTGCAGGCCAGCAGCCAGGACGTCAAAATAGGAATCCCTTGGCACACCTTCTGAGTTCTCTCTTCCAAGAAGGACCAGAGCCACTGTAAAACAGTGCCTCCAAGTTCCACCCCAGAGAGATAGAAGAACACCCTGTCTTCTTATATATATATATATAATGGTATATAATGGTATCGGCCTGCACCAATGGGAGCTGCTGGGAGGCAGAGAAACCAGGAGGGAGAGGGAGTCAGAAAGAAGAATTTCAGTCAGTTTTAGGTCAGAGAGGAGAGTCTGACATGAGAGGAGAGTTCAGTCAGAGAAAGTTTTGAGGGAGAAGAAAGAAAGAGTTTGGGGTTTGAGGCAGAGAGTGTGTTTAAGGAGTTGTACGACGTTCCTTTCTCAATCTCTTTCGTGGCAGGGAAACGTCGGGTGCCGGGCATACTGAGTTCGATTTGCCCAATGATATGGAGCGACCAGTAGAAAGCGGACTCGAGTGTGGAGATGTTGGTATCACAGTTACTTCTGCATCAACCAGCGAAGCCGGAACTGAGCCAGAATGGGGGATTCAGGCTGGGCAGAAGGAATCATCAGCGCGTCTTCGGAAGAGTCAATTCGGATAGTGGTATGTTGTTGTAACGGTCAGTCCGATACCAATGCAGATGGATGGACCTTGGTAGATTATTTTTTCTTTTTCTTTGATTTAGATTGGTCTGATACTGAAGTGGACTTTGGTACTGAAGTAGATTTATTAGAGGATGATGGTTTAGATATGTGCTTAGATCTCTGAGAACTCTTGGAAGCAGTTGGAAATGCAATAACCGGTGCTGGAGATTGATTTGGAGGCTCTGTATTAGAAGGCGCATCCATAGTTTGTGAGGGCTGAAGGGATTTTTGCCAGAGAAAGGATTTCAGATGTTGTTCTCTCAGCTTCAACGCCTGTTTGGTACATTTTTTACAAATTTGGCAAGAAAAGGTCTGATGTGATTCCCCCAAACAGAACAGGCAAATATTATGGCCGTCTGTTAGCAGGATCTTATTAGAGCACGCTGTGCACTTTTTGAAGGGGGAAGGGGGAAAAGGAGAAAAAGGGAAGAATGGGGGGGCGTGGAAAAAACAGTCTTTCATCATCTAAAAATAATGACGAACTTGATTCTAAAGGTTTGATTTGAAGAAATAACAATACGATTAACATTTGGCTGAACTCATGACAGTCTCATAGCCAGGCTTGAAGTCAGATTGAAATGGACTTAGATAATCTATCTAATCAAGGAACCCCTGAAGCTGAGAAGCCATGACCTGTTCTTGCACCTTGCCCAAGAATGGAATATTAAAGGCTGGTCAGTAATTATTCAGTATCATGGGATACAAGGAAGGTTTTTTCAGCAATGTCTTACTGTAGCCTCCTTTAAGCATGCTGGGATCCTTACTTATTTCAAAGAGGTATTCACCACTCCTCCTACCCACTTGACCAGTCCCTTTCTGGCAGCTTTTATACGGAGGAAGGGGAAGGACCCAACAGATATTTGTTAGCCTTCACCTCTCCAAGGGATCTGTCCACATCATCAGGCTGCAGAAATTGAAATAGTATTAAAAGGTACATCGGAGTAGGTTACCAAAAGGTTCAAACAGGCACAAGAAACAGTTTTGGGCCAGAATGTCAAATGTGTGCTACCAAAGAGCCTTGGAACATATTTTACATTCCTCATAGGTTCATGAAAAGTTTATCCATCAACAGACAGCAGGAATATGTAGATATTGACTGAAATTCTGTTGCTTCATATAGTAAGTTGCAACCAGAGTAGGACCACTTAATCAGTGGAGAGTGAGTGAGTCAACATTTCTGTAAGTTCCATTGATTCACTGTTTATTCCAGTTGTGACTGACTACGACATGCAGCAGGATTTCAGCCACACAAACTAAAGGCAGCAGCCAGATTTTTTTTTATCTGATTATTTACCTCTCCTTGTCCAATTATTTTCATACCTAGTTTCCCCTGATCTTTCTCCATCTAGCAGGTGAACCTGATAGGGGAATAACTGCTCCTAAAAACTGGCACATGGGAGAAAAACAATGATTGACAGCAATTTATTGTGTGTGAAAGTGACAGATGTATGCCTTCGTGCTTGCCCTGCTTATGTAAGTTATGGTGGTAGGTAGAAGGTTCTCAAAGTTCAGGAGAAATGCCTTGGATTTCCCACTGTCCCTCTTGCTTTTATCACATGGTTGAACCATTTATTTCAGTGTGCATGAAATTGTGTTAAACTGAGTAAGATCACTGGCCCACATAGCCTCAGTATGATCTGTACTATATTGTAGCAGCTTTCAGATTTTCAGACATAGCCTTTCTCAGCCCCACCTGGAGATGTCAGAGATGGAATCTAAGACTCTCTGCAAGTAAAGCGTTTGCTCTGTGTTGTGTGAAGATCTGGTCATTTTGCAAATTCAGTTCTGCTTCCACTTTTACAACAGCAGAGCAGAGATAGTCAACAGCCCAAACTGAGAAGATACTGCTAGAATACTATCCTGAAAATGAATAATCATATTCCTGAATATAACGTCAGAAATTATAACAATCATAGGATTCATAAGGATATAACTGTAGATTACAAACACCAAAAGTATGAAACCAACATTTTCTTTTACCTGCTTGACTGATGTCAAATGGTTTTGGCTGGCTGTCCATATTTAGAGTTGATGGCACATCTGCTTTGGTGTCTTCTTTCTGTATGATGAAACACATACAATTCATCAGACATAAATATTTGCAAAGAAGCCGCTAAACTAAAAAGCATTTAAACCTTACTATCTTTTCCTGCTGCTTGAGTTTTGATGTAGCATGTACGTAGTAATACAAGCATCTACTTCTTATGATATTCTCTGTATACAGAGGTGTATCACATTTTCAGTTCACATGAATATATATATCCTAGATGTTGTACATGCCCACACCCTGTCTCCTTCTCCTGCTCCTGGGGAAGTTTACATTTTAGCCCGCTATCAGCTGAGATTTCAGGGTCATTACCTGGTGGCAAAGGTGCAAGCCTCTTTCATCTCTCTGTGACTGTCATTGACACCAATTTTGGAAGCTAAGGACCAGTCTTTTTCCCCACACTGTCCCATTTAGAATGTTGCCTAATTGTTTATTTCAATACTAGCATCCTGAGCTTTACCCAGCCTGGTGCCTTCCTCACATCCGGTACTAGACTGCCTTTTAACCCTCATGATTCATCAGGGTGATTTGAGCTGGGGTTTTGGCTTTTTAAAGTAGGAAAAATCATTTTAGAGAACATGTGGCAAGAATGGAGATTTAAAACAGCTAAAATCTTTGCTTATTGTTTCCTCAAGTCCTTTGGGCAGACAGCTGCAGAAACAATAGTTAATGGACCCAGTTGAGACCCTCACCTTGCCATTTATCCTTAGAAGGATTACACAGACCTTACAAATACAGTGGTGCCTCGCATTATAACGTTAATTCATTCCAGCAAAATCACTGTAGAACGAAAACGTTGTAATGCGAAATAAAAAAGTGCATAGAAACACATTAAAACCCAATTAATGCGTTCCTGGGCTTGAAACTCACCATCCAGCGATGATCCTCCATATCGTGACCATTTTCGTTGCCCGTGCAGCGAGGAATCCGTCCCAGAAAACAGCGGGGAGCCATTTTTTTTTTTACCCAGTGGCCATTTTGAAACCGCTGGTCAGCTGGCCGAAAATCGTCATTTTGCGAGAATCGGTTCCCGAAGCAGGGAACCGATCATCGCAAAGTGAAATTCCCTCATTTAAACCATCGTAAAGCGATTGGTTTTTGCGATTGCAAAAAGTTCATCGTAATGCGATTTCGGCATTAAATGGGGCGCTCGTCCTGCGAGGCACCACTGTATCAACCAGTCCCGATTTCGTCGTTAAATGGGGCGCTCATCCTGTGAGGCACCACGGTTTCAACCTGTTCATATGATGTGCATTCTTGTTTTACAGCAAACAAAAGAGTCCTGGAATATCTTAAAGACTAAACACTTCTTTCCCTATAAACATTTGGGAAATGCAGTAAAATTATTTGGTTGAATGAAGTATAACTTTTTTGCTTTGCAACACTTAGTATCATTTTATATTTGCTTGCCTTTTATCTATTTGAGTGTTAGCATTGCTAGAAAAATCTCCACATCAAACCATCAGAATCTTAAGAAAATAGTAATACGAGGGGGTGCTGATAAGTATTGAGCCTTTCCCAGAAAAAAACTGAGCTAGGAAGCCATAAATTGCGGGTGTATTGGCCAATTTGTCTGTATTCAACGGTGAAAAAATCAACTACCTATGATTTTAACTTGTCTTTCATGTTCAGGTCCAAAGTGAACACAGCAGCACCTCTAGAAAAGTTCAATGTGGAAGAGCATAGGACCATAATCAAGTTCCTGTTTCTCCAAGGGAAAGGTGCAAAGCACATCCATGATGAAATGTCACAAACTGGGTGACAGTGGCCTTTCATATGCAATAGTTAAATGTTGGGTTGTCGATTTTAAAATTAGCCATTTTGGTGTTGAAACTGAGAAACCCAGTGGAAGGCCCGTTTCTGTCTCTGTGCCTGCAAATGTGAAAGCCATCCATGACATGATCATGGAGGATCACCGAACATCAGCCAAAACTATTGCTATATATCTGAGAATATCATGTGAGAGAGTTGGTGCCATTATCCATAATGACTTGGAAATGAGAAAGCTGGCAGCAAAGTGGATCCCCAAACTTTGGACAACCGAACAAAAGAGGAAACGTGTGGAGTCATCAGTGGCTGTTTTGGAACATTTTGCAAGAAATGAGTCAGATTTCCTGGGCAAGCTGGTAAATGGTGATGAGACATGGATCTACTGTTATGATCCTGAGACAAAGGAACAGTCTAAGGAATGGAGGCACCGTGGCTCCCTCAGGCCAAAAGCGTTTTGAGTGCAAAGGTCGGTACAGAAGCAAATGGCAACAGTTTTTTTGGCATAAGAAGGGAGTTCTGCTGGTGGACTACCTCCAACAGGGTTCAACCACCAATGCAAAATATTACTGTGCTTTATTGACGAAGCTGGGGCAAAACATCAAGGAAAAACGTTGAGGAAAGCTCTCCAAAGGTGTCATCCTGTTGCATGACAACGCCTCGTCACACACTGCAGGTGAAACAATGGCAAAACTGATGTCCTTCGGCTTTCAAGTGATGCCCTATCGACCCTATTCTCCCAACCTGGCTCCTTCTGACTATTATCTGTTCCCCAAACTCAAAAGGCACCTAAAGGGACAACGATTTGGGAGTGTTCTGGAGGCAACTAATGCTGCAAATGAGTGGTTACACCAGCAGTCAGAAGAATTTTATTTGCAGGGACTGCAGGACAGATGTCGCAAGTGCATTGACTTCCTGGGGGAATACGTATGTAGAGTAGTGTGGCAGTTATAGCTTCCTAGCTCAATTTTTTCTGGGAAAGCTCAATACTTATCAGCACGCCCTCACAGGAGGCAATTTAAAGATCTTCTATATATTGCATGCAGCTCCCCCTCCACTCCCCAACTTATAGAAAATCAGCTTGAGAGGCTGAAATTGAGAGCTGAAAAGCAAAAAGGCAAGAAAACTGACTTTTTCCAGTCCTGAAGTTTGGCTATTCAACATCATCCACCAGAAGTTTTCCCACCCAGAAGAGTAGAAGCTACTGTATGTCATTCTATGTTCTGGCCCTGAGGTAGAAGGCAAAGAAAATTAATTTTTGCCTCTAGTCTTGCAAGTAAGAACAGGCAACTATGCTCACTAGATAGTGCTGGACTATGATTTCCACCTGCTCTATTTAGTAGGGGAAAGGAAAGGCTTGACAGATGCTTAATTCTGGTGTTTTTTGCTGTTACATTGCCCATATTCACATACATTTGGTTTGATATGTCACAAACAAGGGACATAAACGAGTGAGTTATGACCCTTCCAGGAAGGCTAAGATTGGATATTCAGTTATACTGCAGCTAAGAAATTTCTGGGAGAACTGGATAAAGTGTACATTAAACGATAAAATTCTACATATCTTAAGTTCTTCTCCTTACCTTGACCTCCAGTGTCTCGCTTTTTCTTGTCCTTTTCATTATTTCATCTATTCTCTGTAGTAGGAAAAAAAGTCGTATTTACTAGTTTTTGCCTTAGTTCCCTAGAAGTGTAACTGAAACTGCAATAATACACAGTAGAGAAGAAATATCTCCCCTTTTTACAAATCTTTATTGAACGCAAATTGTTCTATAAACATGTCAAATCTAGAATAAGGTGGAAAAACCCCCACTGTGCAGCCATGTAAATTAAAGTTGCAGTCATCACACTGTAGGCCTGGATCATCACTTTTAGTATCTTCTAATGGGATACTCCTTTTAGTTTTAATTTAATGGAGGAGATCATGCAGTGAATTGTCACTAGCTAGTTTGGTGTAGTGATCAGAGTTTTGGATTAGGAATCCCTACTCAGCCATGAAACTCACTGGGTCAGAAGTCACAATTCACATACTCTCAACCTCACAGAGTTCTTATGCGAATAAAGTAGAGAAGAGAAGAACCATTTATACTACTTTGATCTCATCAGAGGAAATGTGGACTGCAAGTAAGTAAGTTGAGCATCATGTTAGATGTGGTTATCACACAACTAATTTTCTGTAACTTTGTTTTTATTTAGACTGTCCAGGTATATTAATAATAATTCTGTGCTGTCAAGTCAACTTTGACTTATGGAAACACTTTTCAGGGTTTTCTAGGCAGAACATAGTCACAAGTGGTTCACCATCATCTTCTTCTGGGGGCATCCTGGGGCTGTGCTTTCCTAAGGCACACTAGGTAACTCTTCTGAGAATTGAACTCCTTACCTCTAGCTCCACAGCCAGATACCCAACTCACTGAGCTCTCCAGTAATATTACAGTTCTACTAATCATGATATATGATGAAGTCACAAATTAATAGGATGAACCCAAGCACCATGCTACCACTTATTACAGAATTTAGGAGATAAATACAAAACTGGCAATCGCTGTGAACAGAGTTCATCACAACAAGTTGAACTAGATAGTCCAGGTCTTTTCTTGTCTAGGGATTGTTTGCTCAGAGACAGGTTTCCTGTATTCATGGAAATAAACAGAAGTAAAAATACCTTCAGAACTTGATATGAACAAACTTTCTACCTTCTTTCGCTCCAGTCTTTCCTGCTCAATCTGCTGCATAATTTGTTCTCTTTCTAGTCGCAGATGTTCAGCCGCCTCCCGGGCCTTTGCTTCTGCTGCTTCTTTCTGATTAAACATAAGTAACAGAGAACTTACCTGTTTAACCTCTCATGCTCTCTCTCTCTCTCTCACACCAACACAGACACGCATATGCACAAACATACACAGACACCATATATTTAAAAAGCTTCCCTTTTCAAAGCTAGGCACAGTCAGAGAAGACTTTTAGTTATTGTCCACAGGCAAATTATCAGACTCCAGAGGGTGTAAGCAGATATTCTGTATACCTGAAACATGATTCAAACTTTCTGCTAGCAGTTTCTGTGGACCTGGGAGAGGAGGAGATAGTTGTGAACACCAGTACTGAGTAAACATGTCAGGACCCTTGACTTACAGACGGCGTGACTTACAGACTTTTTGAGTTATAGACTTCTCTGGCCGCAAAATTTAGGTTTGACTTGCAGACTGAGATTTGACTTACAGACCAGAAAAAAAACAAAATGGAACAAAAACGGCCTGTTACAGGATTAATCGGTTTTCAATGCACTGTAGGTCAATGGAGACTTGACTTACAGACTTTTTGACTTGAGAACCGCCTTCCAATACGGATTAAGTTCTCAAGTCAAGACCCCACTGTAGTCAGCTCATTTTCCCCATGTGGGTCTGCTAGATTGTGTAGAAGTCAGGGCAGAAGTGCCACCAATTCTCACAGATATGGCAACGAAAGAACACAGGAAGCTGCCAAACGCTAAGTCTGCACACTGGCCCATCTAGCTCCCTGGCACCAACTCTGCAGGTTTTTTCACAGCCCTACCTGGGCTGCCAGAGACTGAACCTGGGACACGGAGTAAGTAAAGTATGGGCTGAGCCATTGAACAACAGGCACTCTTCCCTTCACAGCCTACCTGTTTTTACAACCACTCAGGCTTACAACCAGTTCTCCAGTGCTGGGAATCCCCTTTCTCAGTCTTTGTTTCATTCTGCCGCCAAACCAGGCAGAACCAATGCTAGAGCTCAAAGAAGCCAGGAGTAATACAGAAGCTTTTATTTGTTTTTTTTCACCAAGCCGGCAGCAATGCTCCTGCTCTTCCGGCTAGTTCCTGCCTGCTTCTGCCTTTAAGCTCCTCACTATCGTTAAGTGAGGAGTGCCTGCATAGTAGTTCCTCTATGACCCGCTGGATGCATGCAGGAACAGAATGTAAACCTTATATAAACAGCATTGATGTTCCATCCTATCAGTCAATTTGAGCCAACAAGCATGCTAAACCAAAGAAGTTAAAGTAATGTTACATGGGTAACATTTCAGCATGTACACCAAAGGCATTAAACATAGGCAGTAGAACTTCAATGCCTTCTATACAATATGGTGTCAGTTTAATAATGTTGCACTTCAGCTCAGTGGTAAAGAATACTCTTTCCAGACCAGGCAGCCCAAGATTTAGGCCAGTATCCTTTTGGATTCTATCACATGCGGAGGCAAAGCCATGGAAGTGGCCATGAATATCTGGCAAGATGCCAGGTTCAGGCCCATGGCACAACGAACACCTCAGCTGCTAGTGCAGCTTCAGCTCTGGGTATGGTAAAACCCGAGGGGATACTACCCTTGATCTTCAGTACCTCTCAAAAAATTGCCATAGGTGGCAGGGCTTGGAAAGTTTTACGCACAATACTCTTGATGGACAGTACTAGTTTAGATGAACAAATGGTCCACTTAGTACAAGCCAGATCTGTAAGTTTATCTAAGAAAGAAGGAATCTAAAGATGAAATAGGCACTACAGCGGCATCTCTATAGTTGCTGCTTTTTCATAAAAGTATACATTATTCTAGGGGATTAGGCTGCATCTTAAGAAAAGGTGCACAACCAGAACGCTTCTGAATGATGTATGGTTTTGTGGTTCCAAAAGGACATACTTGTGATTCAATCATAGCTTGCAGTTTCTTTTCTTGCTCGTTCCTTAGCATACATTCTTCTTCAGCTCTTCTTTTAGCCTCCTCTTCTGCTCTTTTCCTAGCTTCTTCCTCTTCACGCTGTCTTTTTTCCTCTTTTTTACGGGCCTCCTCCTCTATCCGAGCCCTCTCTTCTTCTGCCTTTCTTTTCAGCTCCTCTCTCTCTAGCCTTCAAAGACAAAAGAGAATTTCTTTTTTATATGTTCCCAAATACGGTGATCCAGTACATGCACAAGAATGGACCAGAGTTTAAAAATACTTATGGATATGAAACACAGTTAGTCTGCATCTGACAGAAGGTGAATCTTCATGATGACCAATCTAAGAGTACACTGTTATTAATGGGGAATGTGGAGTACCTTTCACGTTCTTCTCTCTCCTGTCTTTCTTTTTCCTCCTGTTCTTTCTGGAGACGAGCCTGACGTCTCTTCTCTGCTAGAATTCTTGTCGCTTCCTCAGCATCAGTCGTTCCTGCTGCAGATTTCCCTAATGAAATTTATTATGATTACATTATTGGACAGAGTTGACAGGAATCTTAAGGACAAGTGCATTCAGTAAGACCCTGAATGTTTCTTCTTCTAGGCAACACAACTTCAGAAGGAGTTACATGTATGCCCAACTCTTCTGTTGAGAACTACTCAAAAGGGATGATTTGGCACTAAAAATGAGAGAGAGGTGCTTACTGTTGTTTCTCCTATTCTGCAAAGTTCCAGAGGTGGGACAGGCAACTATGACCCTCCAGATGTTACTGGACTACAGCTCCCATAAGCCCTAGCCAGCAAGACAAGAGTGAGAGATTAGGGAGAATCCAATCCAACATCTCGAGGGCGATGTTTGCCAATTCTGCAATAGACTCTGTAGAGAAGTTGCAGAGGAAAAAGCCTTTTGCTACTCCTCTGTCTATGCTACCTCTTCTGATGACCCTTTGCTTAGTTTTGTCACTGTATTCCAAACTTTGCTACTTCTTAACTTTAGAAGTAGCCACTGCTAGAACTGTATTCATTATTTTTACATATAATACTGTATACAGTTCAGGCTTTAAGAAGGGGTGAGCAAAGTGCAGACCTCTGGATGTTGCTGGATTGCAACCTACAGCATTTCTTATTATTGGCCATGCCAGTAATTACAGCTGTGGTCTTACAACATGTAGAGGGCCACATTTTACCTACTCACCCCTTCCTTCAAATACTAAGACCTTTACAATTCACACTGTTTTCATAAAGCAGGGTACAGTGGTATATTTAGAGAAGGTTGTGCTGCAGCGGCATAAAGAGACAAGATAATAACAATGTTTGGCTCTTATTTTGCTTAGCAGTGACTCTTTCCAGGGCAGTCTAGCTCTGTGATGAGTTATAGAAAGAAAATACTGGGAAAGAAACTCTATGTGAATAACACAGTATGGATTGGTAGCTCATTTTCTTTGCCATAGGGATGAAATTGCTAAAGCTGCAATTTCTATCATCAGATATTTTTAAAAATACTGCGCAGAAGTAAAAAACCAAAAAAAGACACACCTTCACTGCTTTCAGTTTTCCCTGAAGAAAGCACTGACTTTTCCACAGTAGGCTGGGTTACAGTCTCTTCAGCAGGTGATGCTTGAGGTTTCTGGTTAGTATTCTCCCTCTGGTTATCTTTATGTTTTTCTACCCTTTTTTTGGGTGTTTCTTGATTGAGATTTGAAGTGGTGCGATGCTTGACAGGAGAAGCTGGATACTGTTTAGGAGTTTTAGGAGACTGAGGATAGGTCTTTGTTATTGTCCTAAAAACATTTCAAATGAATAATTTAACACTGTACTTTGAAGAAAATCCAGGACACACACAAATTTATCTTAACCTTGGTGACTGCTCTTCTTCCCTTTTACATCAAGTAAGGGATGAAACAATAATTACGATTGAAACACAAAATGAAGATTACATTTGCAGAGCTGCCAGCTCTCAGACTGAAACAGGACCGTAAAAGGACAAAATAAAAAAAATTAAATTGGACAGATCGCATGCTAGCATAAAATTAACCTGGTTTTAAAAACAGAGAGAGAGAGAGAGAGAGAGAGTACTTGTGAAAACTGGAATTAATGGTAATTTGTTTGGGATAGTTTCAGGAAAATACACTGAAATCATTTCACCTTGTTTGGGAGGGTCACATGAAAATAGTTAAAGAATTGTCTATGACACATACTCCAGGTTCATATCAATGCAGATGTATTACAAAATGTGGTCCATCTGAAGAAGCAGACTGCTGCTCTTTAAAGCTTATCTCAAATAAAACCCTAAACTGTTTGGGACCTCAATATTTGGCAGACTGTCTTCTCCCACCCAGATCTACCCGAATCACCCGTCATTGCCAGCAGGGACAGCTGAGGGGTCTGACGCTGAGAGAGGCTCGGAAGGAAAAAACTAGAAACTGGGCCTTCTCGGCGGTGGCCCCTTGGCTGTGGGATGCCCTTCCAGCAGAAATTCGGCTGGCACCCTCGCTGGGTGTTTTTAAAAAACAGTTAAAAACTTGGCTATTTAAGCAGGCCTTCCCTATTTAAAGCCCGGAAAGGCTTTGCATGGAACAGGAGCTTACAGATTGTGTTGATTTTGCACACACGTGAAAGCTGTTGCACCAGAGCACAGGAGTAAGATTTACATTTGGATCTGCTTAACCTGCTTTGGTCCTATCCATGCCCTTAGTCTCACAACTGAAGCACACCTTCCAGATTCCACCAAAATTAGATGCGACCCCTGTTTCCTATCCCTGCTTTAAGGCAACCTTCCCCAATCTAGCTCCATCAAGATGTCTTAGATTATATGTCACAGCTCACTGGTGATGTTGATTTCAGGTGAGCTGTAGGAGTTCCAGCCCAACACATCTGGAGGGCACCATGATGGAGAAGACTGGTTTAGGAAATATTCTGAAGTAGCAGGTATGTAGTTGGACACTTTGATTTTGAGATTTTTCTCTTTTTAACTACTTCTCACTTCCCTCTCCCCAACATCACTGGTTCACAACCTTGAGTATCCCAGGTGTTCTTGGACTACAATTTCCAGAAGTCTTTACTGCCAGCTATGCTGTTCAGGGTTTCTGGGAGTTGCAATCCAAGAACACCAGGGTGACCTAAGGTTGGGAACCACTGCCATACAGCACACAGCTTTGAACAGGGGCGTGTAACCTCTAATCTTAAACCACAAACTAAATTGTTTTGCTTTTAGTCTGCAAGCTCCTCAACCTTGGTAAAACATGGAAGCAACGTGGGATGCAACAATAAACAATTTCCCTTGTTCCTTAGAAGGTCCAGACAACAGCCTAACACCTGCATTCCTGCTCACCATATCGAACAATATGAAAAGTAAAACACACCAAGTGTTTGGTGCAGAATGCAAGTGATATTCCACCAGGACTATCTTTCTGCAAGGGTCTCCTGCTTATTGCTTCTATAGGCTTCCCCACTCTCTCCAAGTTGAAAGCAAATGTCAATATCCCATGGTAGATAAAGACAAGAGAGGAAGCTAGCAATATATGAATCCTGCACCTTTCTAACATATAATGAATCTCTCTTGAAGGACCAATGAAAATTCACAAAATATTCTTACTTAGGAGTTGCTGGTGAAGCTGATCGTTTAGACAGGGTTGCAGGAGAATCAGATCTTCGGAGAGGAGATCCCAAACCAGATGATGTGCCAGGTGTCGTGGGCCGTTTTTCTTTCTTTTTCTTCTCATTCTTAAAAAAGGAAAAGAATCACTAAGTATCTGTTAAAATGTTATGTTAGTGGCAAATAAATTTATCATAGAGTATGGCATATAACATTGCAAGATATTTAACAGGCTTTGGTCAGGTGCACTTCAGTTGAGTTTGCTCAGGATGTGGTTATTACGTATGTGTGTATCCATTTCCAAACATGCACCCTTTCCGAACATGCACAACACAGGTTTCATAAAGAAGGGGCCTTATGGACCACTGAGTCCGCCCCCTATCAAAGAGGCATAGTGAGGAATTGAACTGCTCTGCAACCAAATACCTAAACCATTGAGCTATCCAGAATAAAGGGACTTCTGAAGAAACAACTTAATGTTTTTAGTTGAATCATCTGCAGCTGGTTTTTAAAAGTCAGTTTTTTTTTTCTATAAAAGTTTCTTGAAGAAAGTGGATAATGGAGTATTTTAAATTAAAACCCACTCACAACAACCATGAAACTTACAAGAAATATACTTAAGTAGTATGAGAATCGGAAATCTGGTCCACCTACTCAGTGTCCAATTTTAAACCATTTTGCACATTTCAGAAACCCACCACAATGCGAGAAACACAACTAACCAAAACAGCCCAGCTTCCAGACAATACAAAGATCCCCAATGTGAGTCTCGCTGTTTAAAAAACTTTTGGTGAGGCAGGAATGTCAGCACCAGGGTTTGAGGGGAGGGGGAGTGGAACGCAAGAGAGTGAGGCAGCATCTTAACTTTTGGCTTAAGAAAGAGAATATACACTAGCATATATAATATACAAGCAGCACTTCTCTCTCAATCCAGCCATCTTTCAAACCCACCTGTGACACGTCAGCTGCAGTCGCTCCCTTCATTGCATCTGAGGTGGAAGCAGAAGCTGCCTTCTTTTTCTCCATACTTCGAGTGGGGGAAGGCTTGTAAGGGGACTTGAGGGGGCTAGCTGGCGCTACACGAGGACAGATATGGAATACTAAAGAGTTATAGTACAATAGCAAGAGCAATAGTGAGCACAGACAAAAGAAGTAAAGAGAGGGGAGAAAAACAGCACAGTCTTTTTAGAAACAACAGAACACAAGCACTAGTAAGGCACAATAATAATAACGAACATATTCCCTCTATACAAGCACCGTGTAATTACATACAGTAAGGACATTTACTAAACTTTTTGAGTTTTAGTTAAGCAATGTTTTTAACATCAGGTCACTCCTAACAGATATAACATTCGTGTTTTTCAGGGAGTATTATTTTAGGTTAATAGTTCATTGCACTTCAGATTCAGAAACTTGTCTAATTTGTACAGTAGCTTTATTGTTAGTTTATAAATAATTTTGAAGTATTCATTCATGGCACCACTTATAAAGTTTAGCTCTTCACAGTTATGTACAAGGTGTAGTAAAACTGGTTTCTAAATTTCTAGTGTGTTTTGTGAATTAATTTTTAGATGCCTGGAAAACATGAGTTTAAAACCTTGCTACAAATGATTATTTTAGAAAACAACTTTCTTTTTTGTTTTTTACTTTTCACCACGTGTATATACTGTACTATGAGAATCAGGCAAATGTTAAAATGAAAATTGGACAGAACAGAATAGCTGTTCCCACATTTGTGGGATTAATATTGTAAGTGACAGGAACATCTCTGTGCTACAAAGAAAGTATTTAGTCATTTTCTAAGCAAGCCTAACACATTCCTCAGGATATTAGGTTTACCTGGGTCATTGTATGGCTCAGAAAGCATTAATGTACTTCTGCTTCTGGCTAAAGAAGCTTGTGTGGGAGTCAATAGTCGAGAAATAATAAAGTTTTCCATTGGACTAAGGTGCATGCGATGAGCTGAAGGATGGAAGCAAATGAAAAACATTAAGAAAAAATATACTTCTAAAACTTGCAAATAAATATAATGAATGGACAAAGAAAAGAAACACAGGGGAAATAAACCAAAAGTACCAACTAGAAATCTCTGTGCATTTCAAGTTTTTGGATTTTTTTTCTACAAAGGAAGTATTTAATTGTTTTATGACTGTTCTAAGCCACTGTATATCTTATTTAATTCAATAAAGAAATCAAGTATTGAAATACTAGTTTCCTTAATAATTATCCAGAAACTGGCAACTTATATCTGTTACTGGCAATGGTTCCCCAGATATTCATGGACTGAAACTCAGAGGGGCCTTCAGCACTAGCTGTGCTAGCCAGGATTTCTGGGAACTGCAGTCCCAAAACACCTGGGTTACCCAAGGTTGGGAACCAGCGAACACCTGGTTTACCCAAGGTTGGGAACCAGCACAAGGATAAATTAGACTGATAGTATATAACAGTGGTTCCCAATCTTGGGTAACCCAGGTGTTCTTGGACTGCAGTTCCCGGGAGCCTTCACCACCAGATATTTAACCCAGGTGTTCCTGGACTGCAGTTCCCGGGAGCCCTCACCACCAGATATTCTGGCCAGGATTTCTGGGACTTGTAGTCCAAAACACCTAGGTTACCCAAGGTTGGGAACCACTGGGATATATCAAGTGTACTTGTGTTCAACATGAGCAGAGCTTGAAAAAAAAAACCATTTTTCACTACAGTTCCCAAAATCATAGCTGAGGAATTATTTTCCGAGTGGTTATTTGCAGTACATGTTCCACAAGGCAAGAATAACATATGGCCTAGTTTGTAAGCTGGCAGCAGCAAATATCTTTTTTTCTCTTTTTTTAATATATACTGTATTTTTATTTATCTAAGAATAGGATAGGAAATACAAAAGGTGAAAGGGAGTGGAAGGAAAAGGAAAGGGTTAGGGAGGATAGGAGAACACAAAATACGCAATCATCCAATCAAGTCATATTACAAAAACAAATCTACTTTCAGCTTTTTTTTTTAAATTCGGTTGCCCTTCCAATCATCCAATCAAGTCATATTACAAAAAAAAAAAAAAAATCTGCTTTCAGCTATTTTTTAAATTCGGTTGCCCTTCAGCTATACATTTACAGCTTTATTTTAGTTTAAATCTATGTTACTCCAACACTGTCTGAGAACCATAGCCATTTGTGTAATAAATCCCGTCCTTCAATTTCCTTTTGAATTGGGCAGTTATTAATCACATCTAAATAATTATCCATTTCTGTCTCATACCATACTTTCTCAATAAACTCCTCTTGTTTCAGTGACTTTGCTTTCTTCCAATTTTTGGAAGGGGAAAATGAATCCAAAACAACAATCCAATTTTCAGTATCACATTTTCTGACTGTAGTAATTGAATAAATCACTGGATAGCTCTTTACCCCATCTATATTGCTCGATATCTTACTCAATATGGGCTGTTCTGGAGTTAATACAGTTTTACTTGACTGCTGTTTAGCATCTGATGACCTCTCTTTCATCTGATTTTCTATCTGATTAAAACATTCATTTATTTGCTGGAATTCTGCTATTATTATCTTCTGCATGTTAATCTGCCATTCCTTGTCTATTTTTATGGATTCTTTGGACTTTGGACTAACGGAAAGAATATCAGTTGGATTATAAGGGGATCTGCTGGAGAGACTGAAATCTGGTGATCGTGGTGTAGTTTGGACTCTTTTTGGCTTGACTGTGTGGGATCCTGATAAAAGAATTTTGTTGGCTTTTTGCAGAAAAAAAGCCTAATTCTGCCATGGTTGTATTTTAAATTTCTGGACTTATATATGATAGCATCTGTGTATGGATGAGAGGAAGAACTTCGGGGAAGTTTTCGATTGTGGGTTTGGTTTGTGAAGGATATAGTAGTGTCTTCATAAACCTTATGCATTGGAAAGTCTGAAATGGCTCAAAATTTGGGAATAATGGCAAATATCAAAGTTTGTGCTAGAATCTTGTTTCTAAGTCCTCCCACCTCCATGGCACTAACCAGCAACACCCCTACACTGACAACTTGTCCTAGCCTAAGCTACACTGTTCTTTGTGTGATGGAGTCCTTCTGGGCTGTTTGCTTGGCAACAATGAGTACCTGAAGCACGAAGAACTATGACAATGAGGGCAAATTTGCATCGGTCATGGTAAGAAAGAAAGAGCAATTTGGTAGCAATGTGACCAATTACATACTACAGAGAGAAGGTGACATCACTTTAGTGTTCCAGAGACATATTTCAGCAAATCTTTGTGCCTGAGCAATCATAAAGCCCATGTTTACCTCCTCTGTGATGAGTAACAAAACACAGCAAGCTAAATTGTGAACTATGGGAGGTGCAAAAAAAGAGGTCATCTGTGACAATCAGATGGTTTTGGCACTTATGAAACTATTTTGTCTAGTGCAGTGGTTCTTAACCTTTGTTACTCGGATGTTTTTGAACTGCAACTCCCAGAAACCCCAGCCAGCACAGTTGGTGGTGAAGGCTTCTGGGAGTTGCAGTCCAAAACTCCTGAGTAATCCAAGGTTAAGAACCAGTGGTCTAGTGACATGTTACCTGGAATATAGGTGTAGGAATATAGTATATAAGAATATAGTTTGATCCAATGATTTCCTGGTAAATACCAGAACCAGCAGGTCCTAAAAAAATTTATCATGCACTGGCCCTAGTTTCACACTGATTATTACCAAGCCACCACTTACACTGCTTCTACTTTGATGGAAGAATGTTTTACAGAAATCAATGGACCACAACTGTGCACTGAAGAAATACTAAAAAATAACTTTCACAACTCTAGACTCAAATCACATTAAGCTGGCAGTAGGAAAGAACCCACAACCTATCAACAGTAACAAGTAAATACAGAGCTACTTTCTCTCTCTCTAAAGTCCTTGATTTTAATTAAGTAGTCATCATAATCTACTGCTGAGTGTTACTTTTGTGGTGGCATGGAATTGGTTTGATTTATTTACTTACATTTCTGTACAGCCCAACAGCCAAAGCTCTCTGAGCAGTTAAAAAAAATAGCCAAAACTATAAAATATGAAAAAAGATCCCAATAAAACTGTCTGCAAATGTGAGAATTATGGCCACACGTTCTGCCAGAAGAACATGTTCAAGACAGATCCAAGCAAACAATTTGCTCTCTTGCTTCCTCTGCTTCCTTATGTAAATAGCAGTGATTCTCAAACTTAAAAAACAAAAATGAAGAATGCACACATTATGGACTAGCCAGTCCCAGTAAAGCACCATCAGTTGAAATATCTTTGCATGACGTGTGTACAAGTTGCTGCTCCATCCATATGGTGATTAACTGGTGTGGTATTACGGAAGCTAGCACCAATAATCTAGTGTGACAGATTGGTTAAAGCACTGAACTGGGATTTGGAAGAAGCAAGTCCCCACTGAGCCATCAAACTCACTGAGTGACCTTAGGTCAATCACTCACTCTCTCTTTCAGCCTGACTGACCCCACAGGATTATCACAAGGGGAAGAGGAGGGCTAAGCAGTTGGAGGAAAGACAGGATCTAAATGCCAGTAATATATGCAAAACAAAACAAGACGTAGTGATCTCTCTGAAGCCGTCTTAAGTTCATGCACAGGTAGATATGAGTACAAGACAGCAACTGCTGAAACTGCTCTGTTCTTCCCAAATTCTTTCCAATCCTGTGTAATGAAACCCTGCTGAGTTTCTATAATTTTATAATGTGTGAACTGCTTCAGAGTGTATTCCTATACAAAATAGGAATGGGTATATTTAAAACAAACAAAACTGCATAGATGTGTGCAGTTACTTCCATAAACTCAGTGTGGATTTTGTAGGCATTCAGAAGTTGACTGAGCGGAGGGGAAATCCTGCCACTGGATCTTATTTCTCCATGGAGAAAGGTAAGAAATAAACCTTAGCTAATGTACAAAGTTTAAAACACTTCATGAATGTTATCACCTGAAAAGGTGTCAATATTACATCCATATTGCAGTGCAGGAGCTTTAATGGGAAGCCAGTGGCTCACGTAATACCGTCTTATTTGAAGAAAACAACACTGGTTACCCAATCAGTCTGTTAGCCATCACACTTCACCCAATGATCTTCAAAGGGAGGTCGTCCAGCCATTGTGCACTATGCACAACTCCAGTTCAAAGTGATTACTGGGGTGGGGGTGGGGGAGCAGTCTCCTATTCTGCATTCAACTCCACACAGCACCAATATCCCAGGCAAGCTAAACAGTTATATGTAAATCTTAAAGGAAAATCTGAACCTCACCTACTCCCTCCCTGATGGCTAGAAGGGATTAGATTTGTATGTTGATACTTCTTACTATTACAGAGGAGCTGTGGGTGGACAGCAACTGCAGTACACAGAGGTGTGTGTGTGTGTGTGTGTGTGTGTGTGTATAGTCGAGT